CTCGCCTCGAAACAGCGCCTCCTCGGCGGCTCTGGCTCACTGAAGTTGCTCTTCCGATGCTCCGTCTCGCTGAAATTGCTCTTCCGTCCTTCGAAGCAGCTTCTCCGCGGCGGCTCCGCTTCGCTGAAACCGCTTTTCCGATGCTCCGCTTCACTGAAACCGCTTTTCCTCCCCTCAAAACCGCTCCTCCTAGGCTCTGTATCTCGAAACCCTACTCCGCCATTGACGCTCGAGCTCCTTCTTGCTGCTGAAAAGGAGCTCCTTGCTCCAGAATACGAAGACCCGTCTTCCGAACCGACAAAATACCCTGTTCCCCTGAAACTGCAGAGCGATCTCGATCTCGACACCCCCATTTTCTTACCATCGTTGTAATCTAATCCCCAAGAATCGCCCTTTTCGTCGAACCCACCACCGTATACACTCTTCACCGCGAAATCTCTGTCCCGTTTCGGGTTCATTTTCCGGAAAAATCTCCCGATTCTCCAAAGCCCGTGACCCTTCCTTTTGATCTCGACACGACTGCTGCTGCTCCTCTCGAACACGATCACTTGCTCTGTTTTCTGTCCCTTCGCCTTCACCACCTTCCCCGGTTTCGTCCCTTCGCTGTTGCTATTGTTGTTGTTTCTGGTCTTCTCGTTGTCTATCAGAAATGAGATCCGACCAACGATTCCGAGATCGGCGGCGGCGCTCGAGCTCCGGTTGGGAGAGAGATCCGAACAGGAGCAAGAAGACAGCCTCTGTTCGCCGCATTCGGAGCAAACGAGGTTCACCAGGCGGTCGTTCAGACAGTACGGACATATCCCGACGGCGGAGACCGACGGGTGCTTCCGACATGGAAGCTCCGACGAGGTACTGTAGTAGTGCACGTCGGAAGACAACGAAACGTCGTCGTTTCGCTCCACCGCTCTCTTCTCCCTCTCTATCATGGTGGATCTGTAACTGTCTCTTCACTTCCCTGAAAAATCTGCAGAATCAGAACAGAGAGCAAGAACAAAGAAAGAGTTTTTCAAATTGGGTTTTGCGAAGAGATTGCGATTCGAAATCAGGGTTCTTTTTGGTGATGGATCATGAAGGGAAATCTAAGGGGACGAGAGGATTTGAAAGAGAGGGAAAGTGCTGTGACGCTTAGCTATAGGCTTCGAGGGGGGGTTTTGCTTTAGCTTTACGCTTTTTTTTTTTTTCTCTTGTGCTCTCTCCCCTTATGTTAACCCACCAACTCTACAGTGTTATATCTTCTTATTGAACCGGGTCGAAGCATTACCATTGAAATTGTTATATAGATTGTATTGTAAATGTGATTATTGGAGCGTTATTTCGAGTAAACCATATGATATATTTACATTTTAAAGATGAATTTTCAACTACTTGATCCAATATAACCTCCATTTCGTTTTTGTTTCAAAATAGTTGCCATTTTAGATTTCTTAGATAATTTCCAATTTTATCCTTAATTAAAACTAATCAATTTTAATAAACTTAATAAATATTAATTATATTTCAACTTTAAATAGGGTATATACATGACTTTTTTTTGTTAGTTTTTAAAAAAAAAATCAAAACGTCAATTGTTATAAAACGGATGGAGTACAGTATAATAGTGATCTTGTTTATCAATGTATTATATTTTCCGTATGGGTCTGAATCTATTAATTGTAAAAATCCTAACTAGAAACGGTTGTGGGAAACAAATATAGGATTATAATATAACTGCGCAATTAAAAAAAAATAAAGAGAGAAGAGATGGATGACAGAGACAACTTAGAGGGGAAAAGAAAAAGGGTGTGACGGAGAAAGCGCCATCGGGTTTTTTTTTTTTTTAAAAAAAAAGAAATCCTTTAACAAAATTTGTTGGGAGTATAATTATTATGAAGGAAATTTCCGATTCAAGTTTCAATCTCGATTCTTTTTTTATTGAATAAAATGTAAAAAAAAAAAGATGAGCTTTAATAAAGCCAGTTAGTATAACAACAACTCGTACATAAAGAAATAATATTTGGGTTTTTCTTCCAAACATCAAGCTTTTATGGAATGTGTGTATATAATTAGTTAGCTATGTTTATGTGAAGTAGATACAATCAAAAGCTAAATAAACATGCAAGTATTAATATATATATATATATATGTTATGATTATTGGGATGCGGATATGGCCAATATATTTCACATTTTCATATTGGTTATAAAAAAAAGAGAGACTATTGAGATGAAAAGGGTCACATTTTGTATAGGAAAACAAATAGAGAATATTTGGGGATATATATATATATATAATATGCAAAGGAAAATGTTGAAAAAAGGGGAATAAAACAAGGAGAAAAACCCTTGCATGCATAGGAGGAAGATGTGTGGAGTTTAATCAATCAAAGTCTGTTCATGCGCCTCTCTTGTCTTTTTTTTTAAAAAAAAAATTATTTAATTTTATAAAGTGGTTATTACTTCTCTTGTCAACTTCGGACTCACTTGAACGTCTCCGTCTCTTCTTTGACTTTTGCCCCC